TTATATAACGATAAAAGCAATGTATCATCGATAAAGAGAGTGATTGCGAGGGTCCAGGTCACAAAAAGCGCCAATCCCACGTTGGACCAGAAACGGGAACCGCAAAAAGTTTCATAAAGCCGATATAGCCCCGTTCGTCCCGATGAATAGGCCTAGAAAAATAATATTCTTTGAATTTGCCTTTGAATGTACTAACCGGATGCGCAATCCGCATCGTAAGCGAATAATAAATATTAGAGCAACATATAGCATGGTTTGCATCGTCTGCGAGCCCTTCATCTCCGGCGAGAGACGGTGAAAATGACAAAGAGCAGGCATGGTTTGTCGAAAAATCCCAGACCGCAGACTACAGAAGCAGCCACGTCGTGCATCTCGCTGGTGAAGAACGTGTCCGGCATCCTACCTTATATAATTTTGGCGTGTATCTTTGTGTGTGTGTGGATGTCAGTTTCGAGGACAGATTTGAGGGCCTTCCCGAGTCCAAAATTCCTCAATTTTTCGTCACTTGGGGGAACAGACCTTTCTGTTTCCGATGGCGTTCTCAGAATTTTGATAAAATACAAGTTTGCAGTGTTAAACCCGGTTTTATTCATTTTCGGGGTCCCTGAGGTCTAATTTGCATAATGTGAAAAAATAAAAGGACTGGGAGCTTATTGGGGTTTAGGCTTAGGCTTAGGCTTGCCCTAACTGTAAAGTGTTTTTACCCAAGTTGGAGTTTCGATTCGGGACCAAGAGCATCTTGTGCAGAATTTTTCGCTGATTCCGAATCCGCTTTCCAAATTCGCTGCGGACGTTTATTTTGAAAGTTATACAGCAGTTATGGTAGTGTTTTTCACCAAAATCAAAGGACCGTTATCGTTTTCGATTTTCCTGATCAATTTCAACTTCAAAATTGGCTAGAGATTGGCTAGACAAGCATCTTAAAAGTCAAAACAAGCTTTTTATAAAAAATTTAATTTTTTATGCAAAAAGCAAAAGAAAGTTGCGGGGCGGGGATCCGAACCGCCGCCCTGCGGTTGCCAAGCGAGTACTTTGCCAATGCACCATGGTGCCAAACGGGAGGGCAGCTGTGACAGAGTACTTCACGGCCCCTGAGCGAGACCATGGAGGGAATAGTGGACCAGGATCCGAATTTTTGCCTTTTTCAAGCTTAATTTGCACAAAAAATGACTTTTTAAATAAAAGTCCGCAGCGAATTTGCAAAACGGATTCGGTATCAGCAAAAAATTCTGCACAAGATGCACTTGGTCCCGAATCGAAACTCCAAGTTGAGTAAAAACACTTTACAGTTAGGCTTAGGTATAGGCTTAGACGGAGGTGTAGGAGTAACCTTGGCCCAGGATCAGGCTTCCGGCCTCGGTAGTAACTCAAAACTGAGCAAATTCACTCAGATTCCAATTTTATATCGTGAATCAAGGAAACTTAAGAAGTTTTTCAAATGAAAATACATTGAGTACGTCCACCTTCGTAGTCGGAGGCGTCGTAGCACTAATTTTACACTTTGTCTCTGTGGTTGACAAGGTTCGGCATTAGATCCCGATCCCCTTGGGGACTATTCGTTAGTCAGAAGCGAATCTAACTTTGAAATAGCGTCAAAAGGATGCCGGATTTTGGTTTTTGAGAACAGGCATGATAAACTAGGGATCGAACATATGTCTTAAAAACTTCTGAATCTTTTGAAAGGATAAACATAAAAATTAAAACCAAATAACATAAACACAATTAAAAACAAGGGTCCAGTCTAGTGAATATTCCCATTCTTTAGAAAATCTCCAGAAAATACAAATATTGACGTGTGAACTTGCCGATTCGCGAGACTAAAAATCGGCCCGTCCCTACTATGCCCAAAATTGTTTTGAGGAAAACGAAGCAACACCCAGCGTAACTTTTCCAAAATCGAACGAACACGGCTGTTAGAAATAGAATGATGATTAGAAAAATGTGGAAATTTCTGGAATGCACTATTATTGACGACTACGGTACTTGCCATCTACAAAACGTCGTCACCCCCTTTCCCTAAGGGTTTGGATCAATTCTTGGAAAGGACCGGTTACCCTTTATCCACGAATACAAAATACATCGAAATGCGTAATTCAGGTGGTAATTTTGAAGTCTGGAGGTGTCGGTGAGGCCCCATCGGGGCCCTCGCGGTGTACAATGCTTTGTGTTCCGCACCGGCAAGGTGGTAGATGCAGTAATTCTAACGTTCGGCGACGATATATATAAAGAGAATAACAATAGAAACTAAGATGCTTGGAATAATAGCGCAATATACAATACCTTAAACAGAATCAGCACCAAAATTGCATCGCACGTCGAGTACCCGGCCATGACGATCGGCACGCAAAGGCCCCAGCGATGAGGGAGACCTGAAAACGACTAACGTTTTGGCGCCTAACTAGGATGGCTTACAACAAAGACTTCAAAATTAAAAATTTGCCGCAAAAAATTGCCAACGTCTAACCTTAAATTAACAAAATAAAATTAACAATTACCAAAAACCCCGCCGATCAGCAACACAAATGCCGGGATGAATTCGAAAAATAACGGGGAGCGCCTTAAATCATTATTGGACATATGACAGGCCAAATTTCATGACTATCATTTTTTTGGACTTACCTGTGCCAATAAAAGCAACAATAATTGGAACTGCGAAGATTTGTGCTTCCCGCTCGTCAGCGAATTTTTCACGTAGCGATACCTAAACGGATTACCCTAAAAAGGATACTTCTTTACATTCGAACTCCCATAAAGCAAGCCGAATTATATAAAAGCGAAAACATGATCAAAGCGATTGTGGTCCCAGCTATGATCTTCCAGTCGTAGACTTCGATGCCGTCTTGGTCGGGATACTGTAGGATCGTTAAAATTCCCCCGTTGTTGCTCACCGAATACACGGCACCGTAATAATAAATCGAGGGAGTGATCGTTTGGTTTAGGATTTTTGCAGCATCTCGCTGCGACAACTTTGTGCGGAATTCTGTTGGCTAAAAGCCACATTACATCCCAAAATAGCGCCAAGCTCACCTCAAAGGCCAAAAGTGGACAAGTTTCAATAATGCAACAAACGCAAACGTGAATGCAAAATATCCCAAATTTTCCAGATTTTGTAGAGATTGCTTTTGTAAATCGCCTTAAATATGGAAGGCAATAATTCCGAGAATCTGAAGTAGGCTAAGGAATAGACAAACCTACCCCGTAATCTTTGTATACCGATAAAAGCAGTGGATCATCAGCAGGGACAGCGACTGCGAAAATCCAGTCACATAGAATGCCAACCCAATCTTGGACCAAAAATAGGAGTGCAGAAACGTCTTCGAGAAGCCGGTAAACCCACGCTCGTCAATCAAATATGCCTAGGGAGGGATAATTTCAGGATCTCTAAAATCAGAATTTCTAAAAATCTGAATCACTAAATTGTAGAATCTCAAAATTTTAGAATCTCTAAGTTTCAGAATCTCTAAATGTCGAAATCTCTCAATTTCCATTGCAGAAACCCAGACGAATTTCAATTTTGGCGAAAATACACCTAGGTTTCCGGAACAAGGAAATTTAGAGATTCTAACATCATTATGGATTCTTAGAGATTCTGATTTTTGAGCTTCTGTTACGACGACGCCCAGGGATGGGTATTTGGATTTACGATCAATACCGGATTTGAAATACGTAGCGTCGCCGAATAGTAGATGTTATAGACGCAAATAATAGACTGCATTCGTTGGCTGCCCTTCATTTCCGGCCGGTTGATAGTTTTCATTATGAAGAGCAGGAAGAGGTTGGAGGTGATGCTCAACGTAGCCGCGATTGTGGCTTTTAGGTCGTGAGTTTCTAGCAGGCACTCCATGCTTCCTGCCGAGGACTGGAAAGTCGCTTAAATTCGAGATGAAATCGGAAGATTGAAGCAATTCATAAAAATGCAAAAATCAAGTACCCTCGTGAATTTGCCGGGAACGTAAATTCGTTAGCCCGAAAAAGAAAAACTGAATTGCCTCCACTCTAAAAGCCAGTCATTTCTGTCTTTAATTGATTACCAAGCTTTTTGTACCTTTACACAACGTTGATGCGATTTCGTAAAATGGTAATGGACGCGATGTCCTTTTTATTTTGTGTTACACATTGCTGTGTCCTGGAGGACTCTTCCTACTGTCTGCCCGGTCGGCAGTCCCCAAGGAGAGTTGGATTTTCCCGCAATTTCATACTACATGTTCGTGCGGCAAACCGATTCCATTAGTGTGTTTTTGGCTTTTAGATAGTACATACTTACCAGTGCCGAAATCAACACTTGCCCTGAACAGTATTGAAAGCCAAATGGATCATAGAAGGAGGGACGAGAGAGAGAGACAGAGAGTGAGAGAGAGAGAGAGTAAGAGAGAGATAGAGTTAGAGATAGAGAGAGAGCGTGAGAACTAGAGAGTCATAGAGATTGTGATAAAGGTAGAGATGGGGAGAGAGATAGAGTGAGAGATTGAGAGAGAGAAAGAGAGAAAAAGAGTGAGAGATCATTTCCATGATAAAATTCGTAAACTTTTATTCAAATGGGTCGAATCCTTTGCGAAGATCGTGGAGCATCACTCTTCTCGAGCGTCGCACTGGTAGAAAATCGATGGCTACGCCCGTGGCATCGTCCGCGTAGAAGGATTTCCAGCATGCGACGGCGATACGTCTGAAATTCGATGAAAGGGATCCAGTGTACCTACTCTGAACAAAATCAGCGCCAACACCGCGTCACTCGTCGAGTAGAAAGCCATGAAAACCTCCGCGCATAACCCCCAACTGTGCGGAAACCCTAAGCCGGATAAAACAAGATTATTAGCAACGTGTTCCATACCTATAAGACCACCGACAACCACCAGAAAAACTGGGATGAATTCCCAAACACATGGCGATATTGCCTGAAATTTGCGTTGCTTTCAAGCTCAAATGTCACACCTGCGCCAGCAAAAGAAGCAACAACTGTGAGAGCAGACGCTTTCGAGTTTTGCTGTGAAGTGAGTGGTTCACATACAAATACCTATCAAATGCGTGGTAACTAAGTCTTTGCGGCAATGACTTACAGTCTGATCCCCATAATGCAAGCCGTGAAATACATGACGCTATAAACGACCATTCCGATCCCGGTGGCAATGATCATTTTCCAATTGTAGATCTCGACTTCGTTGTTGCCGGGGTACTAAAGCTATTCCGGTAAAAATAAAATCGCAAGAGAAACCACCATAAATACCGCCCCATAATAGTAAGTGGTCGGCACGATGGTGAGGTTGAGTATCTTTTGGGTATCGACCATGGAAAGCCGGGTCCGAATTTCCGAGGGCTTGAAAAAACAACCATGCATTTTTTATGCCATATAATTACTAACTCAGCCCACTTCCGTAATTACATTTTTGTTCATATCGACGTTTCATATCGAGTTTCCAATTGGCCCGCAATACTAGAGCCCCAGACCAAGCTAAGGACGCGGCCAGAATAGTGCTCCGACGAAGGAAATTTTTTTAGAGGAGGTTACAAGGTGGGAGGCATCGGCTGGCCTGGCCATGGCGGGTCGAATCACAAAAATGCGCTACCACTAATGCTGGAAAACAATTTTTAATAGAAAACGTTCTAGCAAGCATGATGGTATTGTAAATTTGCAAAGAAACTAATTTGGGAATTTTTGAATGAATTTCTTTCGACTGTCTTTATAGTTTTTTTACAATTTCGAAAACGTCATTTGCCAAAAATCGGACTTTCCACGAACGGATTTGATTCGGATTTGTGCAGGATATCAAGTGACTCTTCAGAAGCCTATTCTCAAAATTGCATCACGATAAGTGCAAAAACCGCCGAGATATTCGACAAAAGCCACTGCCTTTATAGTTATTTTACTGAGTGTACCTCAAGGGTCCAGAAACAGCATGTCTCGATGATAAAACACACCGACAAATGAGCAAGTACCATACATAATACCCCAATTTTCGACTCTATCGCTTGTCGATATTTTCTAAATTAGTTTAGGTGTAAATACAAATCCTCCTAAAAGCCTACCCAGTGATCTCGATATACCGACAAAAACAGTGTATAACCAGTAAAGATAGCGACTGCGCAAACCCGGTGATATGGAGAGCCAATCCAATCCATGAACCGATATAAGAATCGAAAAACGGCTTTGAAAATATTATCCAGCCATACTGATCCATTAGGTGGGCCTGTAAATAAATTTCGAAAGTTTTATCCATTCGATATCTACTCAAAAACTACCTTGGACGCCTAATATCACCTTCAAACGACAAAAATTACCGGATGGACGATGCGGAGTGCCGTGGAATAGTAGATATTATACAACGTAATGATTATCTGCATCGTTTGACGGCCCTTTACTTCTTTATGCGATATTGTGGCGATGACGAATAATAGAAAAAGGTTGGTGCCAACTCCCAAAAGCGCCGCCACCGTGGCCCCATAGTCGTTAAATACGAGAGAACAATGCATTTTCACGGTACTTTATAATATAATTTTTATTCAAAATAGGAAAAGGCAGGCGGATACTAAAAAAATTTATGAAAGCCCAAAATTCTCAGCAAAAATGAAAGGAATGCATTTTTTGGGTTTGATGAAAATCCCAGGCGGAAGCTGAAAATTTGTTTGTCTAGGTGGCCAACCCACCCGCGTGCAGCGGGCCCAACTTTTCACAGAATACCCTAATTTGACATGGGAACAGACGGCTAGCAAATTATCGAGCACCGTGACAGGCAGCTGTGAGCTCGTTGCCTAGCTAGAATCTGTTGTTAAATTGTACTAGGCGTGTGTCTTGTACCGGATTGTACCGGCAAGTTTGATAATAATAATGTAATGTAGGTATTAAGTGTTCATTAATAAAATCAACGATAGTTCGGGTTCTTTCGCCAATACGAGAACCTTAAAAGTTGCACAGCTACGTTTCAGATAATGCGTGCGCTGTCATAGTCGAGTAAAAATTGGTAGTTTTTTCATTCATTTGATCAAAAAGGTCGAATCCTATTTTCAGTGGCAGCGGCTTCGGTGGTATTTTCCATAGTTGTACTGGTGACAAATCGTTGTCGACGTCCCAGACAGTTTCCGCGCAGCAATATATCGGCCATGCGACGGCGATAAGCCTGAAAAATACCTGGTGAAAACTAGAATTACAGCGGCTTTGACGCTGCAAGCGGGCGGCTGGACTTCGGGCAACACGATCCGGTGGGGGGGTGCGGGGGGGGTGCTGGAAAGGGGGCTGGGGAAAGGGGGCGTGGCCCGCCGGGAGAGAGCCCCACTCGTTTTATTAAGGCGCTACTTTCAAAATTAGTTATTTTTATTTAAACGAAAACTTTTACATAATTGTTTTATCATTTGCGGGGTTTCTGACCACACTCTACCAGGATCCGAAGAGACCTAACAATCCCCGGAATCTAATTTTTTTTGCTTGGTATTCAGGATTTTCCGGTGCTGTCCCTGTCCCCAGGCCCCCCAGGAAAAACGGACAACGGAAAGGGTTCTCCATAGTCCTGGGTTACCCGGGCGTCCGTTTTCCTTTAAATTCCACTTCGTCCACGTGCCCTTCCCTGGTAAGCTCTAGCTCCTTTCCCCCTTCGAGTTATAGTTGGCTTCTGACAGACGGACGACAGAGACCACTTGAATTCGTATAGTTGATGCTATTTTCGCGTCCATTATGCACAGAAAACTTACTTTGAACAACAAAAGCGACAAAACCGCATCACTTGTCGAGTAGCCGGCCATAAACACCGTTGCGCATAAGCCCCAATTGTGTGGAACACCTATGTAAGTTGGCTTGATATACACAAAGTCTTTAATTAGTGTATACCAAATAGACCGCCAAGTAGCACCACAAATCCAGGGATGAATTCCCATAAGAAGGGGGATATCGCCTAAAAATTCCTGGAATGTTGCTTCGCCAAACCTGGGCTAATAACAAGAGCAGCAGCTGGGAGAGTAACCGCTTCCGAGCCTTGCTTTGAAGTGAGTGCTTTACATATAGATACCTACATAATTCGGATAGCTACACTTTTCAGCAATGGACTCACAGTCTAATGCCAATAACACAAGCCCCCAGGTACATAGCCCCATAAACGGCTAGCCCGATCCCAGTGGCGATGATCATCTTCCAATCGTAGATTTCAACCCCGTTCGGGCCCGGGTACTAAGATTCAATTCGAACAATTTAAAAATGTTTCTCGTAGTCAAAATTTTATTATGATAAAGAAAAACTACCGAAAAAGCGGCTCCATAATAGTACGTAGAGGGTGTGATGGTGAAGTTGAGGATTTTTTGCGTATCGGCCAAGGAAAGGCTGGTTCGAGTCTCGGATGGCTAGAATTGATAGCAACTATTGTTTCTCTTAGAAAAATTCCAATCGTCCCTTTTCCGTGTATCAAATTTTGATAATGGTCCCCAGTTTGTTACCTCCAATGCCGCAAAGCAACACACTTCAATAATGCAGCAAACCAAAATATGCGCGAAAACGATACTTGCCACCCCGAGTTTCGTATCAATGGCTCTTCGATATTTTCTAAATTTTGAAATTGAATTTGAAAGCTCTGTATATTTAAATTTTCCGGACGTTTCAAAAGCGATACCACTTACCCCGTAATCTCAATATAACGATAAAAACAATGTATAAGTAATAGCGATAGAGATTGTGCGAATCCGGTTATATGAATTGTCAGTCCGATCCAGGAACCAATATAAGAATTGATAAATGGCTGTGAAAATATGATCCAGCCGCGCTCGTCCATTAGGTGCGCCTAAAAACCCATTTGACCACAAGGGTCGGCATCTACCGGATCCGTAATCCGGAGTGCAACGGAATAATAAATATTGAATAGCGTGATAATAATCTGAATAGTCTGTCATCCCCTCATCTCTGATACCGTGCCGATGACAAATAATAAGAACACATTTGAGACAACACCTAGCATGGCGGCTATGGTAGAGCCGCGGTCGTTGAATTCGACGCCGCATTCCATTTTTGGAGATTCGCTTTAAAAAATCCTTCAAAGGACAAGAGAGTGGAAAACACGTTCACGCTAGATTTCGAAGACGTTTCTCGGTAGAGTGTTTTACTCAGGGTGGGATTTACTCAGGGCAGGGTTAACAAGGAGACGTGATTTTGTGTGAATGGCGAACTCGAACTAATAAGCATCAGACTTTTGAAAGAGAAAACTGAATAAGATTTAAGTAAGAAAATATGTTCTGCGAATGGCTAGTTTCTAAGGAAAGCTGAGGTCGTTTGGAGTAAGCTATTGTAAACAGTGAAAATTTTACAGGATTTTCCCACCTCGTGCAAAGCGAAATCTAACATTTCCAATCTCATTTCGAAAAAGAAATAAAAATCTCTGTACAACCAGCCGATTACAGCCGCTTCGCGAATGTAATCGGCTGGCCTTCGGGCTATCCTCCATATTTTACACTACCACCTACGTCGATCGTTTCAGATACCTCCTATAGCCAACCCCCTTAGATACCTAAACGACTTATATACCTTCCTGATGGCTTCAGATACCCCCCATGGCTGAAATCCCCTTCAAAAACTACCTAAATACCTTCCTGATGGCTTCAGATACCCCCCCATGGCTGAAATCCCCTTCAAAAACTACCTAAATACCTTCCTGATGGCTACAGATACCCACATGGCTGAAATCCCCTTCAAAAACTACCTAAATACCTTCCTGATGGCTACAGATACCCCACATGGCTGAAATCCCCTTCAAAAACTACCTAAATACTTTTCCGATGGCTTTAGATACTTAAAATGATTTAAATAATGAATTAACATAAATAAAAAGTATTAAAAAGAATTAAAATAACTGAAAAAGCTATTTGGGGGACGGAAGGCCCTGGGGAAGAGGGGCGAAGGGAAAGGGGGCGTGGCCTGCCGGGGAGAGGGCCCCCACTCGTTTTATTAAGGCGCCACTTTCAAAGTTAATTATTTTTATTTAAACGAAAACTTTTTTATAATGTTTTGATCATTTAAGGGGTTTCTGACCATGCTCTATCCGAATCCGAAGAGAGCTAAGCTCTGGCTCCTTTGCCCTTCGAGTTATAGTTGGCTTCAGTCGGACGGACGGACGGACACCACAGCAAAATTATTATAGTTGATAGTGTGCCGGACGGTCCGCGGATCTCAGGAGGGTAGTTTTTTGCATGCGCGTTTTAGGAATTTGAATGATGCTCAAGCGTTGAACCACTGTAGAAACTGAAGAGTTGGATTTTACTTCAATATTTATTGCGCGCTTTATCAAAGAAAAACAGTCCAGAAAATTCTACAAAAAGCGCATTAATTATACAATTTACATTGCAATAAAGTTGTACTGGACACTAGGAAAACATCTTCGAGTCGCTATAAAACCTTAGCGCTCAACTAATGACCAAGCTTCCCGGGTCGACGGAACAAGTTATTGTCTAAAGGAATAATAAATTAAAAATCGACCGACGCTCCAAATTATGTGGTCCCTCATGAAAATGGCTGCTTTAACTGTTTTCTAACTTTCTGGCTGGAGAAACTCGGCCCGACTTTTTCACATAACACCCTAATAAGACATGTGAAAATATGGCAAGAAAATTAGCGCGCACAGTCTCAAGAACCTGGGCGGCCTCGATGCTAAGGTTCGTTGAAAGGAGCGAATTCCAGACATTGTGATTGCGTACAAGTTCCCTTCGGATCGTGGGATTCAGAGCAGTCCAACAAATTTTCCACGTAACAGGATTTGAATGGTGGTACGGAGCGGGGCCTGAAAGGGCTGAAGTTCGTCTCGAAAAGCAACAATGGCAATTCCGAAAGGGGAACGCCCTATTCACCCCGCTTCATTCCATCTGCTTTGAAAAATTCTTGGAGATTTGATTAGGAAAAATTGACCTTATCCCGTGGTCAGAATATATGTAGAGGGTTATAAGACTATACAGGGAGCCCCAATAAAAAATATATTATAAGTTTGACACTCATAGACCGCATTTAAAACCATTAAAGCTGGGTCTCTGTATCTAATTAACGGCTACTAGTGGCCATTTTGCTTCAGGATTCCAAGGCAAATTCGCTTGTATAAAACCAGGAAAATGATTTGTAGAGTTTGTAGAAAGGAAAGGAGACAAAATGGCTTGTAAAATGGCGGGTTTAGGTAAAAACATGGCGATGAAATCTGTGGCAAGGACGCCGTTTCAAGGGCTATCGAATGCTGTAATTATCAATCCGATCCGAGAAGCCCGCGCCGAGTTAGAGCGGGGTGTTTTTTATAGGAACACCCTGCAGTCGCGCCGCCACAGGAAACCAACGATCGAAGGCTGCTAGGATTTTTCTAAGAGAGCCAGTTATTTGACGAGGAGAACATTTGCTATAATCGGTGCGTTAATTAATAGAAAGTCCAGCGGCGCGGCCAAGGGCAAACTAGATTTTGACCGATCGCTTCTGCCAAGCACAATATACAAAATCGTATATTTTCATAACCATGTAATCACGTTCAAAAGCCTTGAATCCTGTTCCCGCTCGGTGGGACGTCGCTGGTATTTTCCATGGTTGTGCTGGTGGCGAATTGGTGCACACGTCCGCGACATCTTCCGCGTAGCAGGATTTCGATGGTGCGGCGGCGATAGGCCTAAAAGGGTGGATACTGCTCATACTAAGTAGATGGAGCACACCTTAAACAACATCAACGCCAACACGGCATCACTGGTCGAGTAGCCGGCCATATAAACCGTGGCGCACAAACCCCAGTTATGAGGTAGACCTGAATTTTTTCAGGTTTTTGAAGCTTTTTCGTTCTATTACTGAATAAACCACCAAGTAACACGACAAATCCTGGAATTAATTCCCAAAAGAACGGAGAGATGGCCTAAAAAAAGTTCAAAAGTTGCGCCTATTAAACCTGAGCCAGTAATAACAGCAAAAGCTGTGATAGCAGATGCTTCCGGGCCTTGCTTTGAAGGGAGAGCTTCACAAACTGGTACCTACGCAATTACGAGTATTATTGCTTAATTTTCTATCACTGGACTTACAGTCTGACGCCAATCACGCAAGCCGTGAAGTACATGGTGCAATAAGCCGCAATCGCAATCCCGGTGGCAATGATGATTTGCCAGTTGTAGATCGTCGAGCCACTCGGCCCGGGGTACTAAAATTCAAATAGGATTTTAAGAAAAACTGCCTCCGATTAATATGAAGGTAGATTCAAATAATTTACCGTAAATGCGGCTCCGTAATAATACGTGTTCGGTTTGATGGTGATGTTGAGGGTTTCCTTAGCGTGAACCATGGAAAGTAGCGTACGAGTCTCGGTGGGCTGAAATTTTGATTGGCGTGGCTAGGTATCGCTGCTATTCCGTTCTCTATCTAACTTTATCTATCTCTCCCTCTCTCTCGCTTTCTCTCTCTTTCTCTCTCTCTCTCTCTCTCTCTCTCTTTCTCTCTCTCCCTATCGTCCTTCACTATCTCTCTGTCTTTTTATCTGGCTTCTAGTGGAAAATGAAGGATTCTACAGGCAAGTTCAGAATTTACCTCCAGAGCCCAAAAGCAACAAGTTTCCACCACGCAACACATCAGGATGTGAGCCGACACAATACTAATCACCCCAGTTTTTGTGTTAATCGCGGAACGGCATTTTCTAAAAATACTTTGATTGCTAAACCTCGGCAATTCGAGAAATTTTGATTACAAACGGTTTCTGCAATTCGTACCCTGTAATCTGAATATACCGATAAAAACAATGAATCAGCAATAGTGATAACACTTGTGCAAATCCCGTGATATGAATGGCCATCGCCACCCAAGAACAGATATAAGAGTCGATAAATGTACGTGAGAATATGATCCAACCATACTTGTCCATAAGATGGGCCTAGAAACAGGCTTCTGACCTCCCAAATCATGTTCAAACCAGCGGGGGAGGAGCCGCTTCGCGACTCTCCCCCGCTGGACCCCGTTTAGGCCTTATGAATCGAGCGCCCTTCTACATAAAGTTATCCTGACGGAAGAAAAACGCAACTCTCATGCAAACCTCTTTGTATTGGTATGCAGCTCAAGCTTGAACTGCTAGTCTCGGTATTAGGCCTGCGGCGCTAGCTTGAGCGGTCTGCTTCGAGACAAATCCTGCGGCGCAAGCTTGTGCGGCTAGCTTTGTTCTAAAGCCTGCGGCGCTAGATCGTTCGGCTAGCTTCATCCTAAAGCCTGCGGCGCTAGCTTGAGCGGCTGGCTTCGTTCTAAAGCCTGCGGCGCTAGCTTGTGCGGCTAGCTTCGATCTAAAGCCTGCCGCGCTAGCTTGAGCGGCTAGCTTCGTTCTAAAGCCTGCGGCGCTAGCTTGTACGGCTAGCTTCGTTTTAAAGCCTGCGGGGCTAGCTAGTGCGGCTAGCTTCGTTCGAAAGCCCGCGGCGCAACTTAAGCCTCCTTAGCCTGCGGCGCAATTTTGAACGGCTAATTTTCTTCCGAAGCTTGCTGCGCTATTTTCAGCGGCTAGCGCCCTTCCAAAGTCTGCGGCGCTAGCTTGAGCAGTTAGCTTGGTAAGAGTTTACTTTACCCCCCATAGCCGAAGGGTCTCAAAGTTGTCGGTATTTTTGCAACGCCATTCGATAGAGCGTCGAAAAATATACAAAGCGTTTTAATTTGAGCTTATAATAATGTATAATAAAAAAGTTATAGCCAAAAACTTCCGGCTGGGGGGGGGGGGTAAAGTAAACCGTAGCCGTTAGCTTGATTCCTAGGCCTCCGGCGCATGCTGGAGGGGGTAGCTTCATTTTATAGGCTGCGGCGCAGGTTTGATTGACTAACTTCATAATAACGTCCCTACACGGAAATCCACTCCGCAACGCACTTTCCGAGCGAAAAGCAAAACAACTACGATATCCGAGGATCGAACCTCCGATGGTTAGATTAGCACGGCGAAGCGCTAACTACTACACCATGCAATGCTTGACATCACGTGCCAAAAACCCTTTTTGGGCATTGCCGGGGGCAGGGGATGAAAAAGCATCGAGAGGCAGATCCAAAGAGACGACCAAACTCGCGATTGCAACTGGCAAGAATGAGGAAATTTGTATTTTTTCACATTATGCAAATTAGTTTGCCTGGACCCCCAAAAATCAATAAAACCGGCTTTAACTTTGTAAACTTGTATTTTATCGGGATTCTGAAAGTGCCATCGGAAAGAGGAGGGTCGATTCCCCCGGGTGACGGAGAATTAGAGCATTTTGGACACGGGAAGGCCCTCAAATCGGGCCTCGAAACTGACCTCCGCACACACACACACACAAAGATACGCGACCAAATTATATAAGGTAGGATTTGTCTACCGGATGTATGACGCGGAGCGCGATAGAATAATATATATT